ATTTAATATATTAAATTTAATCAGAAGCCACACCCCCAAGTCTCTTTGAGGTAGACCTCTCTCTACTTTGGTATGCAAGTTAAGGTACTGAGGGCAACACCCTTAAGATTCCAGAAGATTCCATATCTAGCTATGTGGCTACATGAGGCACCTTCTTTCTGAGGGCTTAATAAAGGGTCGTATGGTTGTACCCTTGGCTTGATATTGACACTGAGGCCATATTTTACTGGTGGTGCTATGGTTTGAATGTTTGTTCCATCCAAAACTCATGTTGAAATTTTTTGGTTTTTTTAGAGATAAGGTCTCACTCTGTCACCCAGGCCGTAGTGCAGTGACACAATCACAGCTCACTACAGCCTTGACCTTTTAGGCTTAAGCGATTCTCCCTCCTCAGCCTTCCACGTAGCTGGGACTACAGGCCTGTGCCACCAGCATGCCTGGCTAATTTTTTTTTTTTTTTTTTTTTTTTTTAGTAGAGATGAGGTCTCCCTATGTTACCTAGGCTGATCTTGAACTGGCTAATTTTTTTTTTTTTTCCAGTGGAGATGAGGTCTCACTATGTTGCCCAGGCTGGTCTTGAACTCCTATGCTCAAGTGATCCTCCTGCCTCTGCCTCCCAAAGTGCTGGGATTACAGGAGTGAGCCACCACTCTGGCTTCATGTTGAAATTCAATTGCCAGTGTAACACTCCTGGGAGGTGATTAGGCCATGAGGGGTTCACCTTCATGGGTGGGTTTAATGCCATAATAAAAGGACTTTGGAAAGTGGGTCTTCTCTCCCTCTGCCTTCCACCAGGTGAAAATGCGGTGAGAAGGCCTCTTTAAGTATCAGCACTTTGATATTGGATTTCCCAGTCTCCAGAATGGTGAGCCAATAAATGTCTGTTTATTATAAATTACTCAGTCTGTTATTCTGTCATCACAGTATAACACAGACTAAGACAGGCAACACCCTAGATTTAACTTTTGGCCCAAGACTGTCTCTTACTTTGAGAATCTCTTGCCAGCTGGAAAGGACAGGAATAAGAAACAGTTTTATTTTTGAATTCAGGAAGTCCTGAGTTGGAAATATTTTGTCTATATGCTGCTGAAAATCTGAAACATTAATTATGTAGCTTAGCTCTTTCTTCTCATTGTTTATCGTGAGTGGTTAAAAGCAGCCAGTTGCCACTTTTCACCATTTCCCCTGGAAACCTCGTCAGCCAAATACACAGATTTACTGGGTATCCTCTCCGTCTTCCACCAGTTGCTGCAGTGACAGTGTTGCCAGAAGTTTTACCACTATGGAAAACAATAAAACGAGCTTATTGTTCTCAAGCTTCCAATAAGAATTTCTGCACTGCTCTTCCAACTTCCATGAACAGTTCCCTCCTTGCCTTTCTTAGCCTCCACCAGGTCACAAAGCCAGTGCCACATGTTTCAGGTTTTTGATATGGCAACACTCCACTTCCAGGTACCTATTGCTTTTTATCTATTGCTATGTAATAGAATACCCAAAAATGAGTGACTTAAAATAGCAGTAGTGTGTTTTTTCCTCATGATTTTGTGGGTCAGCTGTGTGGTTCTTCTGTTGCATGTAGTACGGGCTGAGGACGTTCATATAGCTGCACTCATCTGGGAGCTCAGCTGGGCCTGGAAATTCTAAAATGACCTCACTCATACGTCAGTGGCCTTAATGCTCTGTCAGATAGGAAGTCTTAGTTCTCCTCCATGTGGCTTCTGTCTCTCTACGTGGTCTATCAGTCTTCAGTAATCTTGCCTAAATGTCTTCACATGGTGGCTGGATTTCAAGAGTAAGAAAGCTGAAGGTGCCACCTGTTTTAAAGGCTAAGCCTAGAACTGACAGTTTTATTTCCACTACTTTCTGTTGATCAAAGCAGGTCACAAGTGGTGCCGATCACAATCCCAAAAGACACAATCCCAAATGCCATATCCCAAGTGTTGAAATACTGAAAGATCAAAATCCATAGTCTAAAATCCCTAATGTCTAATTGAATGCCCAAACCATAACGATATATTTAAAATTAGGTGCAATCAAGGCTTCTAAGAGTGAATTTCAAGTTGTTACCAGTAGAGTTTGTCTTTTTCATTCAGCCTGATGCCTTTGACAGAGAACTCAGATGAGTGGATTGGCCATGTGAGATGGCAATGACAAAAACTTCAGCTTAAAATGCCTTATGGATCTGCATTGGCATTCATTCCAGCTGATGAAATTCCAGGAGTTTTTAGTAAATTAAAGCTGCATTAGCATGAAGAAGAAGCCAGAGAAATTACTGACTGGTTTGAAAATAATGACATGCATGGTCAGATAAGAAGACACGCCATGAGGTTGCTGTTTGACCATCAGTATTGTTTCTACCAAATTTGTGTTATGCATGTAAGTGCATGTGAAATGGATTTCCACGTACCCAAAACAGCATAGAAACATGGCACAGAAGATGGGAAAATTTAATAGGGAATACTCATGCAGGTGCATATCAAATCATAGAAGAAGTTCAGAAAAAACAGTGCCACATAGAAAATGAATCTGAATGTATTCTCCAAGGAGACTCATGCCCTAGAAGAAAAAATGTGGCTGGTTGTGGTGGCTCTCACCTGTAATCCTAGCACTTTGAGAGGCCAAGGTGAGAGAATCATTTGAGTCCAGGAGTTTGAGACCAGCCTGAGCAACACAGTGAGACCTCGTCTCTACTAAAAATTTTAAAAAATTAGCAGGGTGTGGTGGTGCATGCCTGTAGTCCTGGCTACTCAGGAGGCTGAGGCAGGAGGATCCCTGGAGTCCAGGAGTTTGAGGTTGCAACAGAGCGAGACTGTGTCTCAAAAAAAAAAAAAGAAGAAGAAGAAAAAAGAAAGAAAAGAAAGAAGAAAGCAACTATTCATTGCAGTGCAAGTTGGCCACCTCTTATGGAGTACACTTGTGCGATTACCTATCATCTATCCCACTTTTTTTATGTGTCGAAGTTTCTTTTTCGTTTTTGTCCACTAGTAGTTATCTTTTTTAAAAAATTTTTTTGAAATAGGAGTCTTGCTCTGTTGGCCAGGCTGGAGTGCAGTGGCGTGATCTCAGCTCACTGCAACCTCCACCTCCTGGGTTCAAGTGATTCTTCTGCCTCAGCCTCCCGAGTAGCTGGGATTACAGGTGCACACCATCACGCCTGGCTAAATTTTGAGTTTTTAGTAGATACGGGATTTCTCCATGTTGGCCAGGTTGGTCTCGAACTCTTGACCTCAGGTGATCTGCCTGCCTTGGCCTCCCAAACTGCTAGGATTACAGGCGTGAGCCACCATGCTTGGCTATTTCCACTACTTTAAATTGTCAACATTATTTTTTATAATTCACTATGCTACATATTTCATCTTTGTGTTGTTTTTGGATTTGGAGGTATAGATTGTATAAAGACTTTTAGAGTGTTCTAATTTGTTTTATGCATTTTTTTTTCAAATTCGACTCCACAGAGGTGCGTTTTCACAACATTGACTTTGTGGGTAACCATTGTGCTTATTGATAAAAATGTTGAAACTTTCACAATAAATGAAGAGATATCCATTTGTACATCTGCATTTGTGAAAGATAAAATTTCTCAAGATCACAGTTCTTTGGGTGACTACATGTGTGATGGCAACCCATCACAGTTTTTGACTGATGTTGTCAAGAGACTTAGGTTATTCATCAAGTTATTTCAGATGACTGCAGTTATTTAAGCTATTTCATTATGACTACAGTTCATTTGCTCATAACTGTTATATCTCTGCAACTGATTAATATACCTGGATGTTTATGCTTACAAAAATGTGTGTTTTTTTGCCTATTTTATTGTGTAAAGTGACCTCTGAAGTATTCTGCCATGTTTTCATAGGTTTCTCAAATAAATGCCCTTTTAAAAATGAACAGAATGGGCACAGTGGTTCATGCCTGTAATCCCAGCACTTGAGGAGGCCAAAGCAAGATTACTTGAGCCCAGGAGTTCAAGACCAGCTTGGGCAACATAGTGAGACCCTTTCTCTACAACAGATTTTTTAAAAAAAATCAGCTGGGCATGGTGGCACACACCTGTAGTCCTAGCTACTCAGGAGGCTGAGGCAGGAGGATTCCCTAAGCTCAGGAGGTCAAAGCTTTGGTGAAGTACTATGCTGCTACTGTATCAGCCTGGATGACAGGGTAAGACCCTGTCTCTAAAAAAAAAAAAAAAGAAAAAGAAACTTAAAAAAATGTAAGTAAATGTATTTTAGAGAGTTTTTAAAATTATTTTTTCCAATATTTTCAGGATTTTGATCTTTCGGGATTGTGATTTTGGGGATTTTAGACTTTAGGGATTTTGATCTTCTGGGATTTCAAAATTCGAGATTATGTTATTTTGGGAATTATGGCCGCAACCCACCAGAGACCAGCCCAGCTGAGGAGGCAGGGAAGAAGAAGTTGATGGGGAGAGCAGTGTGCACGTACGGGAGGAGTTGTTGGCAGCCATCTTGGAGGCAGTCTGTCACAGCCGGCTGAACATACTTACACCGTGTCTGCTGAAGCTCATTACCTGTTCAAAGGATGTCTGCCTTTAAGCAGTAACTAAACTGTAAGTCAAAGAAGTGAATTTTTAATGTGGACTTTAAAACATGAGCAATGAATATCCATAATTTCTAATTTGAGGACTGAGGAGATAAAGGTACGATTTTTATTCCCAGAAAACTTCAGCAAACACTTATTAAGCCTTCCATTTTGTATGCACTTTGCTAGGTATTAGAAAGAAATTCAAGAGTATGTCAACAGCTTACGATCTGTGTGACTTAGGGAAAGTCATTTAACTTCTTGGCATCTGTTTGCTAATCTAAAAAATAAGGACCACGGGTTCGGGCCTTGTATACTGCCTGGCATGGGATCATTGCTCACTGAGTGTTACTTTTCTTTCCTTTTTTTTTATCTTCCTCAAAAGGATACTGAACATGGCGGCTCCTGTAGTTCTGTGCCCTGTTTTCTTAGCATTAACTGAAGTTCTTTTATTTGGACAGGTACTGCTCACATGATAGAGGCTGATGTCCTTCTTCCAAGTGATGGATCAGAACACAGCCAGCCAATTATGGCCCATCCACCTGAAACAAACAGTGATAATACTCTACAGGAGTGGCTGACTGAAGTTACGAAAAGCAATAAAGGCATCAAGCTGGATTTCAAAAGGTATTTGTATAAACATATTCAATTTTCTGGGAAAAAATGAATAGCTGTGCCTACCTATTTTTTTTTTTTATGTTACCCAAACTGAAAATGGGATTGTAGACTCTATTTCAGGACTGAACCTAAATGAACCTAAGACCCACTGAGTTATTTACTAAAATTGCTTTTTGGAGACCCTTAAAGGCTAAAGTTAGATTAATTTTTATAAAGGAATTTATCATAAGTGACCATTGTGACAACAGAAAGCTAAGTTAAAAACGTTACGTTTGTTAGAAAGTAACCCAGGAGAGAGAGAGCTGGGAGAAATTCATTGAGCTAGTTAATGCATACCCTATTTGATTTGTATTATTACATTTGTAAAGGGAATTATTTAGAATTCTCCAATAACCAAAGTGTTCCTTAAAAATAATACTTGGAGGCAGCCAGGCGCGGTGGCTTAAGCCTGTAATTCCAGCACTTTGAGAGACTGAGGTGGGCGGATCACCTGAGGTCAGGAGTTCGAGACCAGCCTGACCAAAATGATGAAATCCCACCTCTACTAAAAATACAAAAATTAGCCAGGCATGGTGGTGGGTGCCTGTAATCACAGCTACTGGGGAGACTGAGGCAGGAGAATTGCTTGAACCTGGGAGGCAGAGATTGCAGTGAGCCGAGATTGCACCATTGAATTCCAGCCTGGGCGACAAGAGCAAAACTCCCTCTCAAATGATAATAATAGTAGTAATAATAATAATAATATTTGGAGGCATTAATACTGAAGAGCAAGAGTAAGTTGTCATTTTCTTCACTGTGGCCATCACAGGAAATTTTACTTTTGTAGTATTTTGGCCGTGTAAAAATGATAAAGAAAGCCAAAAATATAGAGCAACACTTCAGAAGCACACTGTAAAGCTTATGAAGGCAGCTGCTATTGAAATCTAGGATTGGCAGTAAGCCTACTTCATCTCTGAGTAATATTTTTAAATAGAATTATCACAAGAAATTAATAAGGACTTGGAATCTTGTAGGATTCTTAAGATGACTCTAACCATTTGTTATGGGGCAAAATATACCAATAAACTTTATTATACTGTTGGTGAATTAATAGATATATAAAATCTTGATATACAGGAATTTGGATTGACAAGGTCTGGTGAATTAAAGAACTATCTTAAGGTCATAAACCTTTTTTTCGACTGGGTGCGGTGGCTCAAGCCTGTAATCCCAGCACTTTGGGAGGCCAAGGCGGGTGGATCACCTGAGGTTAGGAGTTCGAGACCAGCCTGGTCAACATGGTGAAGCTCCATCTCTACTAAAAATACAGAAAATTAGCTAGGCATGGTGGCGTGCATGTGTAATTCAGCTACTCAGGAAGCTGAGGCAGGAGAGCCTCTTGAACCCGGGAGGTGGAGGTTGCAGTGAGTTGAGATTGTGCCACGGCACTCCAGCCTGGGCAACAAGAGTAAAACTCTGTCTCAAAAAGAATAAAAAATAAAAATAAAAAATCATAAGCTTTTTGAGTTATGAATGGTTCAATTTCATTTTATTGACAAAGAAACTTAGTTCCAGAAAGGTTAAGTGATGTACCTAAGGGCAACAGGTAAGCTTTGACGGGTAAGCTACAACCGGATCCTAGGTTTCCTAAAACCAGTCCAGTGTTCTCTACACCATGAAATACAGCATTTGATCTTTAGTGCTTGATGGCTTAAACTTTTAGATCTCCTTGACTTGTCGTGTGCTCAGTTTTTCATGTTTACTCTTGCCCCTTGAATTGCTTCCTGTGACATATTCTTTGGCTTCTCACCAGTCAGATCAGCTCATTCATTCTTAAATGCTAGCAGCTACCACAAAAGGGCTGAGCCGCTGAAACAAAGATTTTGCAAGTTTTCTTTTTTTTTTCAATCATAACATTTGAAGGGGATTCAATATAAACTAATAGGTATATGAACACCTATTACATGTCAGACACTGTTCTAAAAGCATTGCATGGCCTTGCGCGGTGGCTCACGCCTGTAATCCCAGCACTTTGGGAGGCCGAGACGGGCGGATCACGAGGTCAGGAGATCGAGACCATCCTGGCTAACCCAGTGAAACCCCGTCTCTACTAAAAAATACAAAAAAAAAAACTAGCCGGGCGAGGTGGCGGCGCCTGTAATCCCAGCTACTCAGGAGGCTGAGGCAGGAGAATGGCGGGAACCCGGGAGGCAGAGCTTGCAGTAAGCTGAGATTGCGCCCCTGGACTCCAGCCTGGGCGACAGAGCGAGACTCCGTCTCAAAAAAAAAAAAAAAAAAAAAAAGCATTGCAGGTATTTTTCATTAAATTCTCGTAACAGTCCTAAGAGGTAGGTTATTGCTGTTATGCTCCTCATTTTCCAGATGAGGCAATGGAGGTGTAGGGGGCTAAGGAGCCCACTTGTCACATAGTTGTTAATGGAACTAGAGAGCTATCAGCCTGGCTGGAGAGTTCACACTTTTAATCAGAATGCTACATTCACTCCCTTTGTAAGAGCAGCTGAATGACCTGTTAGTTAAATTTTAGTAGTTACTGTTTTGTGCTTCTAAGTTACTTTATTTGGTAACACAAATAAAAACTATTATATTTTGGCTGGGCGCGGTGGCTCATGCCTGTAATCCCAGCACTTTGGGAGGCCGAGGTGGGCGAATCACCTGAGGTCGGGAGTTCTAGACCAGCCTGACCAACATGAAGAAACCCCGTCTTTACTGAAAATACAAAATTAGCCGGGCGTGGTGGCACATGCCTGTAATTCCAGCTACTCAGGAGGCTGAGGCAGAAGAATCGCTTGAACCCGGGAGAGGGAGGTTGCAGTGAACTGAGATCGCGCCATTGCACTCCAGCCTGGGCAACGAGAGTGAAATGCCGTCTCAAAAGTTAAAAACAAGTATTATATTTTAAAATTTTATCTGGAGTCTTAGCCAACTCTTCAGTGTTTTAGCCAAGAATTATTTTCCCTTAAACAATGCAATTTTATATAGTTTGTTATAATTTTAAGTATGATATTTATTTTATCACTCTCAATTTTTAAATGAAATTAATAGGAAAGCAGAGTATGATATTTAGAAGTCTGATTTACAAATAACTTTTTAGGAAAAAATATATTCTATAATAACTAAGTTTATATTCTTTTAAGGAAACTTAAATAAATCCCACCAAAGAGCAATTTTTGGTAGTATTCCGACCAGGACTTTCCTCTTCGATGATCATCTTGGTGAAGCTTTGGCACTTCCTTATGGGAAACTTAGTACTAGTATATGTAAGAATTGAGAATGTTGGCCACTGTATTTTAAATTAGAATTACATGGAATTTATAGATTTAGAAAGATGTGTCTATTTTATAATCCATGCAGTATTGAGCTTTCCAGGCTGGGTCTGTTATTTCTTGTAGTATACAGCAGTCCTCTGTTATCTGCAGTTTCAGTAACCTGCAGTACACCATGGTCTAAAAGTGTTAAATGGAAAATTCCAGAAATAAGCAATTAATAAGTTTTAAATTGCACACCATTCTGAGCAATGTGATGAGATCTTGTACTTTCCCATTCCATCCCACCTGGGATGTGACTCATCCCTTCCCTTTGTCCAACGTATCCACATCGTATATGCTGCCCACCTATTAGTCACTTAATAGCCGTCACGGTTATCAGATTGACAGATCACAAGAAGAAGGGTGAGTAGGGTACAGTAAGCTATTTTGAGAGAGAGAGACCACATTCATATAACTTTTATTATAGTATATTGTTATAATTGTTCTAACAAACTATAATTGTTATTACTAGTTTTTGTTGCTAATCTCTTACTGTGCCTAATTTATAAATTACACTTTATCAGAGATAGGTATGTGTAGGGAAAAAAATGCAGAGTACATATAGGGTTGGGTGCTATGTGGTTTCAGGCATCCCCTGGAGGTCTTGGAACATACTCCCTGCAGATAAGGGGGACTACTGTATATTTTATTTTGTTGTTTAGGAAAGTTTGTCCTCAGTCCTTTTTTCTCCCACAAAATGTTACACCTTTTCTTCCAGAAGAACTTTAAAATTACTTTGTCAAGTTTTAGAAAATAAGAACTACAATAAAAAGTTTTTGGTTCCTTAGTGAGGTTTTAAATTTGTTTAACTGCAGGCTTTGTTTTTCTTATTTAAGTTTCTGGTAAGGGAAAATATCATTATCCTTAGTCTACATTAGTGATAATTAAAACATTTACATATAGAATGAAATAAATGTATTAAATTCTTGCCTCACTATGTTCTTTGTCATAGTTCCTTATGTTTAACTCCACAGTGCTTCGCATGTAGTAGGCACTTAGTAAACACTGGTGGAATTTTGATTTGTGGGAGAATCGCTGTTTCAAACTGGATTACAGGCGCGGTGGCTCATGCCTGTAATCCAGCACTTTGGGAGACCAAGGTGGGTGGATTACTTGAGGTCAGGAGTTCAAGACCAGCCTGGCCAACATGGTGAAACCCCATCTCTACTAAAAATACAAAAATTAGCTGGGTATGGTGGCACATGCCTGTAATCTCAGCTACTTGGGAGGCTGAGGCAGGAGAATGGCTTGAACCTGGGACGTGGAGGTTACAGTGAGCCGAGATCACGCTGTTGCACTCCAGCCTGGGTGACAGAGCAAAACTCCATCTCAAAACAAACAAAAAAAAAGAAACTGGATATTATCAGATGGAGAATCGATCTTAAACCACTCTATGGCAGCTTACTAAATTGAGAAAGCCTAAGAGGCTCCCTCCTGAAATGTAAACTGGAAATTAGTATTTAACCCAGATTCCATGGACACCAGATTTCTTAAGAAATCAGAGTCCTTTCTGGAAAAAGAGGAGCTTGGCAGGAGACATGCATGGATTAGTTCAAGGTTTGTCCTTACTCCACCTATGAAAAGCAGCACCTCATGGGGGCTTGGCTGCTGCTGTGGGACTGACAGGCAAGCAAACTTTGGAGTCACAGGTACAAGTTGCTTGCTACCAAAAATGGAATTTTGTAGGAGGTACAGCGTTGGATCTCAGAATTGTGGTTTTAACATAGTGTTGACACAGGGCAAGGCAGGGAGAATTTAAAAGAGACAAATGGCAGCGTCTGAATTAAAGTCTGCAGAGTCCAGCATTAGGGTTTATTAATCCACTAAAATCTAGGCCCTCCATTCAGGGGCAGAAGAGTGAGAAGGAAATGTACCACATGGGAGCAGAGGGAAAGGGGCCAGAGGCTAAGGGATAGAGCCTGGGTTCCTCTGGTTTTAGTACATAGTATCCTTGCTCACTGGCAAACGTAACCCAATAAATAATAAGATTATTTAAATTTCTCCTCTTAGAGTAGACGGCCCAAATGGAGTGGAAAGAGGAGAGAGAGAAGTGTAGATAGAAGTACTGCCATCTCTTAGGAAGAGAGAGGGAACTGTGAGGAGGGGTTGGTGAGTGTTCTCCCCTCCAATATCCATCTCCAAAATTCTTAGCCTCCCATTACAATATTCACTACAAGGTAATTTTCTTATAAATGAACATAGGCAAGTAAAAATTATGGAAGCTGATTAAAACCCTACTGTTTCAAAGTCTGTAGGTATCAGCTAGAATATATGTAGGGAAGTAAAAAGAGTGAAGTTGCTTTTTAAATTTAAACTAAAATATGCATGTTTCTAATTTTCAGAAAAGGTTCTTACAATAAAAGAAGAAAAATGAAACAGAAACTTGAAGGAAATACTATAATTTTATATTTTGCAGTCATTTTTAGATAGTGTTTATGTATCCAAACTCACCCAAGAATACATAAAGGACAGAAGCTACTTTTTTTCTCCAGGGTCATGAGCCTGAATTAGAGATACAGAGCTTGGATCCACTTGGGTATTTCATAAATGTGGATTTACAGGTTATTAAGAGTATTTCATTTATCTTATTTATACATTCTCTAACAAGTTAATATTTGTGTCTTTTTAAAAACTGTTTTCACACTAAGTGATTCTAATATGGAGTTTTGAAACCTCTATTTTGTCCACAAGTAGTGCCACTATTCATATACTTATAGACTGTTTAAGGTATATTCGTGAATAATAAGCACAATTCAATGTTTAGAGATATGGCATATGTTAGCTTTTCCCTCTGGTGCTATGTGATCTCTGATTTTATTTAACCCAGACATTATTGTATTTTTCTTACGAATTTGAGAACATTAAGACCACTAGTCTAAAAGAATTTCTTTTTACTTTACCTAAGGAATCTCTCATTGACAACAAATTATGTTTTTAGTCTGGCAGCTGTAGAACCATCCATGATGCTCTTGGAAAATGTGAAGAGGCATCTGAAGCGCCCTGTATGGATTAATGCCGATATTCTTCCTGGTCCAAATGGAAATAGCAAAGTAATAGATGCAAAACCATTTTTAGACACCGTGACATTCTTCTTTCCAGACGTGACGTTTTCCCTGGGTTGGACAACAGGATGGCATCCTGAGAAAGTCAATGAAGGTAATAATTCTAATAATGTATTTCTTGTTGGTCAAATTAAATCCTCCAGGTATAAAAATATTATCTTTAATACAAAGCCCAAAACCCATTCGACAACATCTGAGCCTAATGGAAAAAAAGGCCTGACCCTTCAGGTATGTGTAGACCCTTCCGTCTGCTCTTTCAGATGGATGCCATGTTCACTGGTGATGCTGCAAATTTTAAGAGAGTTCATAGATTTATAGTCATATAAGTAAAGCTTTTGTTAGCAATCTCTTTTTCTAATTTTTAAAAACATAATTTTCCAGATTTTAAAGGAAAGTGGAATATTTCCCTTCTTTTTATCAGGAAATTAGCAGCTAAACTAACATATTCACTTAAGATTTCTGTAAAATGTTCCTTTACTGACTGACCAATATTTTTTACAACTTGCTTTTGATAGAGTATAGAGTTACTTAAAATAGATATATTCTGGCTGGGCGTGTTGGCTCCTGCCTATAATCACCACACTTTGGGAGGCTGAGGTGGGCGGATCACCTGAGGTCAGGAGTTCGAGACCAACCTGGCCAACATGGCGAAACCCCGTCTCTACTAAAAATACAAAAGTTAGCCACGCATGGTAGCGCGTTCCTGTAGTCCCAGCTATAGCTACTCAGGAGGCTGAGGCAGGAGAATCGCTTGAACCCAGGAGGCGGAGGTTGCAGTGAGCCAAGATTGTGCCACTGCACTCCACCTGGACAATAGAGTGAGACTCTGTCCCCCCCAAAAAAAAATGTGTGTGTGTGTATATATATGTATTTATTTATTTATTATGTGTGTATATAGTTTATATATAAAGATGTATATTCTCTGTCCATATATATACTTTTTTTTTGAAGTTATTTAGAAACAAGTGTGTTTTCCACGTGGTTTTTTTTTTTTTTAAACAGAGTCTTGCTCTGTTGCCCAGGCTGGAGTGCAGTGATGTGATCTCAGCTCACTGCAACCTCCACCTCCCAGGTTCCTGGGTTCAAGTGATTCTTGTGCATCAGCCTCTTGAGTAGCTGGGATTACAGGTGTGTGCTACCACGCCCAGCTTATTTTTGTGTTTTTTTTAGTAGAGATGGGGTTTCACCATGTTGGCCAGGCTGGTCTTGAACTCCTGACCTCCAGTGATCTGCCCACCTCAGCATCCCAAAGTGCTGGAATTACAGGCATGAGCCACTGCACCTGGCCTTTTTTTTTTTCTTTTTCTTTTTTAAGAAACAGGGTCTGGTTCTGTCACCCAGGCTGAGTGCAGTGGTACCATCATGGCTCACTGCAGCTTTGACCTCCTGGGCTCAAGCGATCCTCCCATCTCAGCCTCCAGAGTAGCTGGGACCACAGGCACACACCATCACACACAGCTAATTTTTAAATTTTTTGTAGAGATGAGGTCTCACTAAGTTGCCCAGGCTGGTTTCAAACTCCTGGGCTCAAGCGATCCTCCCACCTTGGCCTCCCAAAGTGCTGGGATTACAGGCATAAACCACCATGCCTGGCCCCACAATGTCTTAACACGATTTAAATGTATATTTTTTGTATATATATATATATATATATAGAGAGAGAGAGAGAGAGAGAGAGAGAGAGAGAGAGAGAGTGTCAATTTTTTTTTTACCACTATTTCTACTTTAAGTAAAATGTACAGGTAATTTGGGCAAGCCAAAAAGAAAATTGATTTGATGTTAACTATCACTTAAATAGCTAGTATATACCCCAAAGCTACCTTTTCTTGGAAAAGAAAATTTAACAAAAATAGAAAATCCAAGTTTACAGAGAATAATAATGATGCAGGTGTACCTAAAAGAAGAGCCTTAAAATCTTGAAAGTAAATAAAATCTAGTAGTGTAAATTTTCTTTTCTTATGCTTGAGTGATGAGTAAAACCTTTTTAATTCCTTAATTTTTTTGTTAAATTTCCTCTAGGTCACTTGTGGAATGATTTTTTATCTCCATTTTCCACTTAGTTTTTTTTCGCATTAAGTAGCACTTTAATTCACTTAGCATCCAGATGGAAAGTATTATGAATTACCTATGAATTATCTATGGTTTTACCTAATTGTAGGTAATTTAGTCTTTTATTTAATTGTCTTTCAAGATTTCAATCAGTAAGGTTATATTTTTTTCTTTTCTTTTAAGGGTACAGTTGGACAATGGTGAAAGAGATGGAATATATATGTAATGAACTAAGTCAGCCCGTAACGTTCCCTGTCAGAGCAGCATTAGTCAGGCAGTCTTGTTCTCAGTTACTTTGGCTGTTAAAGCAATCAAGCAGGTATGTAATAGTTTAACAAATGTGTATGTGAGTGTGTATGAGAGACAGAGATAGAAAGGGCATGAAAATTGATTATTTAAGGGCAGTGTGTATGAGAGAAAGGTAGATGGAAAAAATGAAAACTGATGATATAAGCACACAGACTCTCTCACCAGATTGGCGCTCCTTGATGAACCCTAACTCACTTAACATCATATATTTTACCCCTATTCCTCACAAAAGTTTTTGTACATAGTAGGTGCTCAGTAAGTGTTAGCTGTCTTTTTCATTATGTTATACATTCACAAAAAGTGATGAATGGATAAATTAGCTTCTTTTTTAATTTCATCATAATTTCAGAAATCAGCCAGATGTGGTGGCTCACACCTGTAATCCCAGCACTTTGGGAGGCTGAGGCAGGAGGATCTCTTGAGCCCAGGAGTTTGAGATGAACCTGGGCAATTTAGTGAGAACTTGTCTTTACAAAAAAATTAAAAATTAGCCGAGCAAGGTGGCATGCGCCTGTAGTCTCAGCTATTCGGGAAGCTAAGGTGGGAGCATCACTTGAACCCGGGAGGTAGAGGCTTCAGTGAGCCAAGGTCATACAAGTGTACTCCAGCCTAGGTGACAGAGCGAGACCCTGGCTCAAAAATAATAATACTTTCAGAAATCTTTTTTATATAAAAGTTTTAATATGTAATAAAAATTGTTGGACCACCTATTGAGTATTTAAATAGATTATAAAAGTACAGATATTAAAATTTTTATTATTTTGTTTTCTTTTAAGAGGTCAATCAGTAGAACAAAAGAAAAAGTCCAGAATCTGTCATGGAACTTAGTGTAGAAACAAGCTGACTTTTCAGATCTTTGGAGCAAGAAGTTCAACAACTGGTTTTGGGACAACAGGCTATGTAGGAAAAACAATGCTGACACCTTTGCTTATTCCTTGCTCCAAAATACATTCCCAATGAATTAAAGATTTGAACATCAAGCAGTAAATGCATAAAGAATAAACAGGGATGATTCCTTAAATATAGTTTCAGAATGGAGAAGACCTTTAGGCACAAACCCCGGAAACTGTAAAAGGAATTTTGATACATTTGAATCCATAAAAATGGAAAGCAACTACTAAAAAGGCCCCCAATGTGTATGTCAGAGAAATGTAAAGAATTCTGACAAATAAAAGATTTTTACAAATTACCCAGAAATAGGCCCAGTTTAATAATTCACTATATTGCAGAGAGTAGTGAAAGCAGACAATCATACATTTTTGGCTGGAGTGTAACCTGATCAGTAATTTCCTTGGAGAGAAATTTGGCATATACTCATGAATCTCACTATTGAGACCATGTCTTACTAACAGAAGTTCACATAAGCACAGAGACATAGGTACAGGGATATTCTGGTAGCATCATTTGTAGTAATAAAAGACTTGAAACATTCTAAGTATCTATCAGTCAGACACTGTGGAATAAATTATGGTACACCCGTATGATGGAATATTATATGTTACAGATAATGCAGTAGACCCTATGTTTTAATATGGAATGATCTGTAAGGTATATCATTAACTGAATAAATTAAGATGCAGAATGATAGGTATAGTATGATTCCATTTGCATGTGGGAAAATTGATGTGTAAAAATATTTATAGATAAATTGAGCTTAGAGTAGTTTGAATCAGTGGCTGCTAGCATTATGCTTAAAGAGGAATATTAGGTGATACCAGACACTATACCAATCAGATTCTTAGTTACAAACAATTATGGGGCAACTCTCATTGTTAAAGTATCCCATGATGCTATTTGACATTCTCTTTTTGCAAACACATCATCTATTTATTAACTCTGCCTCTAGTTTTGTTTGTTTTCATTAGTGTCAGAGAAGTGCACTGAAATCAAATAACATACTGTATTAATTTTTTAAAGATTATTATTGAAATTAAAGCATTACATTTAATTAAAATTTTCAATTCTCATGGAAAACGCTAGAATTTTTTAGAATATATCTTCTTACCCCCATTTGAGAAACATTTACAATATAGATGGACTCTGTTTTCTTGGAGACATAATACTCAGATAATCATGTGCACAAGTACCATAAGACTATGGCCACATTTATGAGAGAATTCAGACCAGCCTATATTCCATTTGGGTATATTTTGTTTCATTTTTAATGATGTCACATTGATTTTCACATAGTCATGTGTGTGATAAGAGCACCTAAAATCTATTCTCTTAGCAAATTTTTCAAATACAACAGTGTTAACTATAGTCCTCATACTGTCCATTAGATCTCTAGACTTAGTATCCTGTGTAACTGCAAGTTCATCTACTCGTTATCTTTTAAAGATACCTATTTACTCTCATTTTACTGGTTTTGAGAATCATATTTATCCTCCAAAGTTCTAGAGTCTGCTTGTTTTTCTAATTATTCCATAGGAAAAAACTACAGAACATTATCATTAGTTCTACAGACTTAGAGGTTCTTATATTGTTTGAGATAGGAAGGAAAAGTACATTTATTTTTTAAAAACTTAGCACTGAAGTATTTATGTAGACTACTTTTTATAGTAAAAGCAATGTAGGCCGATAACAGTGTTTCACATAACAAAATCTGGATAATACAGTTCTACTTTAAAAGACTGAAGGTTAGAATTGCCTCTATGGTGGACCCAGGTGTTTTAATTTTGTTCCTAATAATTTTCTTATCTAATGTTTGTGAGATTACATGAAGACAGCAACCTTGCTTATCTTGATTATCCACAAATCTTCAGAATTTAAAACAATGCCCAGCACATCATAGGAATTTAATAAATAGTTATTAAATGGAAAAACCAAATGCATACAGGCACTGATTCATCATAGAGGGCATTAGAAGCCTGTACTTTCTGGAGAAGTAGTTTTGGTGTTTAAATACAAAAATAGCTATAAAAGGCAGCATTAAGCAAAGAGGCTTAGAGGTTATTTTTGTTACTGTGGTGTCAAGTACCGCCTCAATCACCTTGTGATGTGTGCTAATGCAATTAGTAATACGAATAATATATTACAAAGAGGAGTAGCTTCTAGAGAAAGAATGCTTCTAAAAAGACAGCAATATCCCACCTTTAAACAAGAACCTCATTTTGAGTCAAGCAATTGTACATGAATGAATCTTGCAATGTCAAGAGAGCTATTTGAAATAAAACACTATCACAATATTTCTGTGTCAGGGAACTCAATGAATGATGAACTGCCAATCCCTTTTTGCTTCTCATTTAAGTAGTTGGTGAATCCACTCTGCCATCACACCCATGAACCATGGCGAAGTTTCAGTTTTTGACAGCATACCTGTTCAAAGAACAGGCTAAGTGTTTTTATTATAGAAATTTCAAAATACAGTAACTCAAAACAGGAGAGAAGTTTATATTCCTCTCTCCAAACAGTCCAGACTCAGGAAGGTCTCAGGAGAGTAGAGGCTCTTCTCCAACGGTCATCTAGAGCGTAGGTTCATTCTGTCTTGTTCCTCTGCTAACCCTGGGAGTGTCAACATGCACATAAGTAGAAGCTGACATACACCATCACATTCCCGTTCCAGCCCACAAATGTTGAAAGAAAAAAAACATACACCAGAGTAACTAAAATAACCTCTAAGGCTTTTTGCTTAATGCTGCCTTTTATAACTATTTTTGTCTTTAAACACCAAAACTGCTTCTCCAGAAAGTACAGACTTCTAATGCCCTCTATGATGAAACAGTGCCTGTATGCATAAATATATATGTGTGTGTGTGTGTGTGTGTGTGTGTGTGTGTGTATATATATGAAGGCATATACTAGGTGTATTTAGATGACCTGTATATACTAGGAGTATTTATATTTTTATACTGGGGTGTGTGTGTATATATATATAAAATGCATATACATATATATGAAGGCTATAGATCCTGTATACAGTCATCTGTCAGTATATGTGGAGGATTGGTTCAAGGATGCTCAGCATATACCAAAATCGGCTCATTCTGAAGTTCCCAAGCTGTTCCTGTGGGACTTGAGTACACAGAAAGTCAACCTCCTTATACCCACATTTCAAATCCTGTAAATACTCTATGTCCATTCTCATTTGGTTGAAAAAATCAGTATATCAATGGACTCACTCAGTTCTAAACTGTGTTGTTCAAGAGTCAACTATACTGATACAGATATTGTGTCCAAATCTATATCCTAAATTATCTTAGCATTTTAAAAAATAGTCTTTCAGGGCCAGGTACAGTGTCTCATACCTGTAATCCTAGTACTTTGGGAAGCCAAGGTGGGCGGATCACCTGAGGTCATGAGTTCAAGACCACCTTGGCCAAATGGTGAAAATCCATCTTTACTAAAATCCAAAAAAAAAAAAAAAAAAAATAGCCATGAATGATGGCAGGTGCCTGTAATTCCAGCTACTTGGGAGGCTGAGACGGGGGAATCGCTTGAACTCGGGAGACAGTGGTTGCAGTGAGCCGAGATCTCACCACTGCACTCCAGCCTGTGCAGCTGAACAGGTCTCTGTCTAAAAATATATATATATAGTCTTTCAATTGATTTTCTTGAGTTTTCTAAGCAAAAAAATTTATTCTCTTCAAATAATGTTAACTTTTTTCAACTTTTGTATCTCTAATTTCTTTTTTATGATGGTTAATACCTCTAGAGTAGTGATTCTCAAGGTATTATCAGTAGTGGTGATTTGGCTCTCCAGCAGACAATGCCTGAGGACGTTTTTGATTGCCACACCAAAAGATGAGGGGTGGGGGGCAGGGATTCTATTGAACAACTAGTGGTAAAGGCCAGGGATTCCGCTTTAGACATCCTACATGGCACAGGACAGCTCCCACAGTAAAGAATTATCTAACTGAAATGTCAGTAGTCAACATTGAGAACTCTAGAACAGTGTTACATAATATTGCTAATAGTGCCCAAACATATCTTATTCTTACCTTTAAAAACAGCTTAGTATTCTGCAAAGATACTACAGAAGTACAGTCATGTATCGCTTTAAGATGGTGA